ATGTAAATAGCCTGCTGTATCTGGTTCATTCATGCTTTTGATGTATTGACCATAACTATCTTCATACTCCTTAATTGGTTCATCGATGTATTTCTTTTGGTCAATGCCCAAAACTTTCTCAATATTTGACATTTCATTTTCAATCACTTCAAATTTGTTAAGTCTTCTTCGGATTAACTCTTCTATTAAATATACAACCAACCCATCTTGTAACCATCTTTTAACGTCTTGGGGACTAATATCTCCACATCTTAAGGCACATAGCATATGACCAAGATAAACAAAATTATTGGCAACAATGTCTACGGTACGGTTCGCTGGTGATTTCATGTAATTTTCGAATAAATTTATGTTTTCCTTACGGAGGTTATTTGATTGTCTGTATATTGCATCACATGTTTCCAATATCAATTTAAATTGATCTCTTCGGAACTCTGTTGATGTATCATTGAGAGCTTTTGCTAATACTAAAAAGGGAACTGTAATGGAAAATTTTTATTGTTATTTAGTAAATTATTATTTTATAAAGCGACAAAGAGTCTAAAGAATATGTTACTCACTAGTAGTGACTTGTGCGTATGAATAACCAAACACATCGAGTGTAGTTAGATACCCAAATATTGGCTAATAATAGTAAACATTAGTTATTATGTATATCATAGTAATGTAAATGTTTTATAAGTGGCTGAGGAATTTAAGTGTACTAGAATTTTAGGGTAGAATTTATCTTACATAAACCTACACTCTTTAACTTAAATCTTAAGACATTCCAAATCCACTTAAATTCTGTTCTCACACACGACATAATATAAGTTCCGTTTTTCTTACCTTCATTCTCTCTTTGGCAATTGACCAATGTTTCTCATTGATGTATAATGGAAAGACTCCTTTTTTAAACAAAAAACAAAATGAGTCAATAAAATTATAAAATCGAATATTACAAACATCACGATTCTAATGAGATTAATGAACCTGTAATATTTTCATTTGCTACACCATGTACGATGCTAGCTATAAATGAAGCCGGTTTAAAGCCTCCATGAACGTCTTCAGCGTCATAAGCTTCATTTAAGGCAAATCGAACAGAATCCAAAAACGCACCAGAACTTAAGAAAGTTTGATTAATCGCTTTAATATTAATTAATGAAGGGTCTGCGATAGCTGCTTGAGATCGTGCAACATCAAGGGCTAGACAAATACATTCTCCTCCTTTCATTGCTTCAATGTAATTATCTGTGGTAATGAGGCAAGTAAATTTTGTTTTATTATCCTCAGACTCTTGACTATCCAATTCATCAAAGTCAATTGACTTTACGAGTTCTTCAATCTTTTTTTCGGATTCTTCCATTAAGTCGATGTTTTTAATTGCTCGATCTTCAAGTTTATTTTTTAGTCTTTGCTTAGTTATATTCTTATATGCCAAATCATTGAAGCTTGCGATTTTTTCATTAGTTAATGTGCCCTTCAATGCTCTAATAAGTGATGAAAAAATGATTATAGGTTAGAAATAAGTAAAATATTAGTTCTCATGAATATTACAAATGAAGATATATAACATACTCTGATAAGAGATTCTTAAATTGGTGCATAACAGTTTTAACTTCCATAATTTGCTGTATAGTCGAATTGCGATTGAAAGATTTTGATTTAAAAGTAGTTTCCAACATTGAATTTAATTGTTCATTATATTTATTAGCTTGTTCCAAAATTTCATCAAGCCTTTCACGTTTATTGACATAATTATTCTTATGACTTAAAACTTCATTTGTCATTTGTGTGATCTCAAATTGGATGTGGGAAATTATCAATGAAGTCGCCATTGAATCGTTAGCAGGAATTTGACTAGGGAGTGTAGGAATTTCATATTCTTTTGAGCTTTCCAGGTCTTTTAAAATGGTAATTTTTTTATCATCAACATTAGTTGCAGTTCCAGAAAGAAAGAGTTTTCCATATCCTTTATCATCAAATGTTGTTGGTAATGGTTCTTGGTCTCCGACTTTTACGTAAAGAGTTAGATCTTTTAATTCCAATAATTTTCGAGTTGTTTCCATAGTTTCGACAATCTTTTCACTTTCACTGACGTACTGGAAATTACCTTCTTTGTTTCCAACTTTAGTCAACCAAGAAAGAAGCGCTAATTGAAAATCACATTGAGATGAGTAATTAAGTTATTTAAAAGATTCATACGTTTTATAAATTTTTTAATCAAAATTTCTTACCAGCATCGTGACTTCTCGTGAATCCTATAGTATGAACTTCGGTAGAATGAGAAGTTGCCGACAAAGCTGTCTCCAATATTTTTTCACTTTCTTTAAGTCTATCAGCACCACTTCCATCTTGGCCATCAGTGAAGAAGATTATAGCCACATCCTTATCAATTATTTTAACTTCCTCGATGATAGAATCAAAAACGGATACAAAGCTTGTACCTAATTTATATATAAATTCAAATGAGAAACTTTTTGTTTTTCATACCATAAATGGATGAATCAATT